TACACATACATACAGTGGTGACTTGTCATACACATACATACAGTGGTAGGTGACTTGTCATACACATATATACAGTGGTAGGTGACTTGTCATACACATACATACTGTGGTAGGTGACTTGTCATACACATACATACAGTGGTAGGTGACTTGTCATACACATACATACAGTGGTGACTTGTCATACACATACATACAGTGGTGACTTGTCATACACATACATACAGTGGTAGGTGACTTGTCATACACATACATACAGTGGTAGGTGACTTGTCATACACATACATACAGTGGTGACTTGTCATACACATACATACAGTGGTAGGCGACTTGGCATACACATACATACTGTGGTAGGTGACTTGTCATATACATACATACAGTGGTAGGTGACTTGGCATACACATACATACAGTGGTAGGTAGGTGTTTTATTCAGTGTTACCACACATTTTACAGAAGAGACTTCCATGAAAATAGCATAAACTATCAATGATATACACATCACAAACATTTTAAAATCTTGTTGATACTTACTATAACCACTTGGTGATACAGATCTGTATCAATGACTTACCCACGGCGTCCAAGCAGCGTAATTTCGGTTGCAGCGGGAAGGAGGTGGGGGGGGGGGGGTCCTGGTGCCTTATCACGTCGGGGTCACTGGGGTCAGCTCACTCAGGCTGGGCTGACTGAATTTTCGGTACTTTTCAACTTAAAGTTTTCACTCACTCAATCCCTCAAGTTTTTCCAAAAAATGTACCCAGAATCCAGCCATTTCTGCACTAACGGAAGGGCCCACTAAGAACCATAAATATCCTCCAATTGCTTGGAAATATGGCACAAAGTACAATCTAAGACGGAACTTTACAAATACCAAACTTGAAGTATGTAGCTTTAGTAGTTTTGCTTTGGGGGGGTGTTGTACAAATTTGGCGTTTTTAAAGGCTATTTTTTTTTCACGGTGGAATGAGCAAGAACAAGACTACATAGATATTCAAATATGCTTGTGAGTGTCGAGATCTATGTATTGTATGTGATGTATTTTAAGACTGTTAAATACTTTCATGAATTTAAAAAAATGTATGAGTGAGAAAGGCAGAGAGAATCGATTGCGAGACATACACAGCTGATCAGTGTGAACAAACGTGCTCAAAGTGCCTTCATAAAAAACACAATTTCTCCGTGTGTAATGACAGTACAAACAAAATTTCAGCACCCCTCCCTCTAGGCAGAATTAGCAAGGGAAAAATAAATTGACCTTTTATAAAAATGAGTTAATGCACTGTATAAAAGCAATCTTTCTTTAACATTATAACTTACTCTTTCACAGGAACCATTCCAATGTCTGGGGCAAAGCGAGATAGGAAAAAAAAAGAAAAATAATAAAATGTTAGTGAAAGCAGGATTATACAACATCTTGTAAACATTTTAAAAAACCCACAAATTGGAAGGCAACACATTGCATTTGAATATTTATAAACAAACACACACACACACACACACACACACACAATCACACATACAAAAAGACAAAAAAAAACCCCAAAGAAATTAATAATAGACTTTAGACTTTACAGTAAGAAAAGACCAATTGCAACCACAATTTATTAAACATGAGGTGGAGGTGGTCAGCTCTTACAAGTGTCTTGGTGTAACAATTAATAACAAACTTGACTGGCATCCCCACGCATAAAAAAGTAAATCGAAGAATGTTCCTTTTAAGGAAATTAAGAAGTTTCCGTGTTGATAATAAGATTAAGTCCCTTTTCTTAGGTTGGTCGTTGTTTTTCCCCTGGTTTTTTTTTGTTAGCTTCACATTGCTGGTTGTGAGAGTAAGTATCACAGGTCCGTGGTCCGTGTTGACGATGTAGTTTGGAACAGTTCTCAAATCTTTGGCGGTATGTCTTTGTTTTCTGGACATCAGGATGAAATCAATTTGTGATGCATGGCACAGGTCATTCCATTTGTACCAGGTCTTGATTTGGCTTAGTCTGTGTTGGAAAAAAGTGTTCGTAAAATCATGTCGTGCTCAGCACAAAGGTATAGTGACATTTCTCCATTGCTGTTGCAGTCTGTATCTTTGTCACTGTGGGGTCCCAAGTACTCTACTCAAGGGGTTCTTCTTGGTCCAACTCTGCTATTTAAATCTCTCTTCTTTGTTCTTGATGGTGTTAATGTGGTCACTTAGGTCTTGGAAATATGATTGTCTGTCTTCCTATGAAAAGCTGTCGTTACAAGGAGCGTATGTTTGGATGTACATTGTTGTTTTGCTATCTTTTATGAGTTTTATGCTCAAT